GCTTCTTGGACAGTGGATCTTTATTGGGATACCACTATTCAGGTTTAAGACACCTTTTGTAGCGTTCGTTTGAACGTTGCAAAATATTGTTTCAACATCAGTCATTATGTGTTGCGAAAATGTACATTTCACAACACGCTACGACCGTTGCAAAAGGTCTGACTTTCAACAACTGCCTATGAACGTTGCAAAAGACCTGAAATATGTAATTTTTTTGGCAATGGTCATTTGAACGCTGCAAAAGGCAACAATGGCAACATTCACCAAAATAGTGTTGCAATATCTCAATTTTGTTAACTAATAGCAACATACATTTACCGAACGTTGCGATTGACTCCTTTTAGCAATAATTAATTGATGAATGTTGCCTTTTGCATGTTGCAAAAGGTAATTTTTGTTGTAGTGCAACCATCACATTGTAGTCCAAGATTGTTAGCATGGCTTCCAGCAACTAAGATTTTCAATGCCTTTTAGGGAGTGGACTGGGACATCAGACTTCTCTCCATTCTTCAATAGTACAAGTGATTTTCTCCTAGCCTCCCTTGCCAAATCTCTGTGAGCCCGTTGATAGAAAAAAAAATATAACATGACTCGACTATACAACAAATACGATTCTAGGCACCTGGCTTCCAAGTTTATCGACTAAACTATGATCTGCCATGGGATTCTCAAAGAGGCCCATGCTAAATTTGACTCTCAAAATCCTTCTGACAGCATCATCAATTCTGCTGATTGGAATGAAGTTGTTGTTTGCCCAAGAGGTTAAAGTATTAATGAATTCTGTATGGTTGAGAGGGACCATAACCTGAAAATTTCAACGGGGAAAAACTCGGTGTTAGCATTTGATGCACATGTTTTGAACAATCACAATATCTAACTTACCATGTCGATACCAGCTTTGATCCCAGTAAGAACGGAGTATGTATAATTTGTTGAAAAACAATGAAGAATACACACCATGGGATTCTCAAAGAGGCCCATGCTAAATTTGACTCTCAAAATCCTTCTGACAGCATCATCAATTCTGCTGATTGGAATGAAGTTGTTGTTTGCCCAAGAGGTTAAAGTATTAATGAATTCTGTATGGTTAAAAGGGACCATAACCTGAAAATTTCAACAGGGAAAAACTTGGTGTTAGCATTTGATGCACATGTTTTGAACAATCACAATATCTAACTTACCATGTCGATACCAGCTTTGATCCCAGTAAGAACGGAGTATGTATAATTTGTTGAAAAATAATGAAGAATACACCGAGAATCGAAGAATAAACAAACCAATGTAGTAGCAACCAATCACGAAATTGAAGACAAGAAAATTAAACTTGAAGCATTCCACCAAAAATTTGCTCACGATACCGTTGTCCTCAAATGATATTTGCCCCCTTGTGGATTAAGAATGCTTGAAGGGATGCTAGCAAATGGTTAAGTTCAAAAACCAACGGGAAAAAAGACCAGTTCATGCAGGGACTTTTAATCCCTGCATATGATCATGCGATCGCATGGCCCAGTTCATGCAGGGACTTTTAATCCCTGCATATGGTCATGTGATCGCATGGCCTATATTTTTTTAATTTTGTTTTTTCCTATTTTGATTCCAATATTCATTTTATTAGTTTGATCAACTTATTTCCAACAAATGTATATTCAAATACATTAAACACATTTGCATGTACCGGTTCATAAAATGAATTATGAACAAATAAATCAATAATTTTAAACATGCAATTATATCTCATAAAGACTATCGAATAAAATTTACTTATCAAACAAATATGTACATTTGTTGGTACATGTATTCCTTTTATTTAGTATTCGATGATTTGGTTGGATATACCATTCATCATGATTAAACAATTTATATAAATTGTGAAATCGAAAGTTGTGAATTTAAGGCAATTATAAAGTGGAGTCTTTCATTGTCTAAATGTATTTCAATATATTTTGGCGACAAGTCCATCGAATGTTAATAAAGAATTGATTGTTTCTTTATGAAAGTGCATGGTGCATGTTTTGGTAATTGTTTATTGGAATAATGTAATTCTTGCATCATTCATAAAACGTGAAATTACATAGGTTTTATGAGACATTGACACTATTGGACTTGTATATATGTTGGAAGAATGCCAACTATTTATTTGATATACATTTCTTATATTAGAATATGAAATGAAAGTGCTAGAGTTTCACGGAGATTATACCAACTTTGTTTGATGGTGATAGCCTTGATTAATTAAGTGAGATGACTTATGCAAGTTATATTTGCATAAGTGTATGACAATGTGATTTTGTCACTACAATAAGTGAAACCAATTGAGTTGGCTTGAAAAGCGTTGTTGGTCTATGAGATGACCTTGATCAAATTGTGTGTGATCAAAATTAAAGATAGTTGGGTTGAAGTACGTTGTCACTTAACGACCACTATCAGAAAGTACTTAGACTTTCACGGATATTATCCAAGTGATAAGTGAATTGAATTATGAAAGAGTTGATGAACTCTAAATTCAATTATAACCCGAAAGGTGGGGGTTAACATTAATGATTGTAAACTTATATGAGAAGTTCAAGCCATGTGGACGCAATATTACTAGATTGCATATATATTCCTAATTGAGGAATTGTGGGGGCAACTTATTGTAAAAGTTACATTTCATAAACCTTTTTAATCATAGAAAGAAATCTATGGATGAGAAAAAGAAGAAATCCCTTATATAATTATAAGGATGATAGAGATTCACTAGTAAAATTGATTGACTAGTGTGATGTTTTGATAGAAATATTCCAATAGTGTTTGGAAGTAAAATAAAGCTTTACATAAAGCTAATGTGAAACATGTGGTTTTCGTAAATGATTTTTTGGTGGTGACAAAGTTGTATCTATTAAATGAATCGATCGTAGGCTAGCTATATTTGATGAGATACTAAGTCACTTGTGATGGAAAGTCTAGACTTATGAGTCTAAGACATAAGGAAAATTAATCAAAGACTGAAAATAATTTTCCTAAACTATGAGAACATAGCGGATGCTTAATCTAAACCTTAAATAGAGATTTAGTAATATATACTTCGAGTAGGATAAGGTTGAAACTCTTAAACCAAAAGATCCACCAATGATGGCAACCCTACCTGTCATTACTCAAAAGGTAATCCACAGGTTCAAAGAGTAATAACAAGTCGTTCGATATGTGGAAAAGTTTTAGCATTATAAAATCTGCGGTATCCTTATTCTAAATTATATAATGCTGGTTGTTACTGAAGTGAGGGATAAACTCTTAATGAAGTTCAGTACATAGTACAAGTATCACTAAAAGTAATGAAGATACTGGAAGAACTTCACCTAAACGAACTTCGAGGTGGTGCCGCCTCAATAGAGAGTTAGAGTTTCTCTCTTTAAAGTTTGTTCAAAAGGATTAGCGCAAGGCCATAATAGCGCTAAGCGAGTTTGAGAAATTTGAGAACATGTGATACTCATGTGTGTGTTCGAACCGGTATTGTCATTTGGAACAAATGGTTCAAAGCTTCATGCTACCTTTGATTCCGACTTTGCTTTATTTAAATTACACTATGGTTAGATTCAAATCGAAAGATATCTAATCCTTATGCATGAGTATTGTATACTTTGAATATGAGACCTTATTGGATTTTGAACAAGTGGGGGATTGTTGATAATTTGTTGTTCAAAACCAAAAGGAACGAGTGTGGAATGAAATAGAGGAACAACCGGAGAAGGCCAAGTTTGGCCCATGCGATCGCATGGACCATTTGGCCATGCGATTGTATGGCCATGATCAGGGACCAAAATCCTTGATCTCGGTAACTCCATGCAACCGCATGGAGTTGTTCCTTGCGGTCGCATGGTGATAAAAACTATTTGTTGGGCAATTTTTCGGTTTGATTTTTGGCAGCTTTTCACTTCCTTTTTGGCACCACTTCGTAGTGCAATGTTTGATGGCTATAAATAAGTGATTATTGATCATTGGAAATGGTTAGAAAACATATAGAATCACTAAACCAATTGAGATCAAATATTCATTCCATAAAGGAAGAATATTCTTTCTTCATCCATATTCAAATCTCTCTTTGTGTTCTTGAAGTTTTGGAGAATCACACAAGTGCTTAAGTGTTGAATTCTTTACAAGGCTCGATCAATCCTACAAACCATTTGCTGGAAAACCCTTTAAGCACCAATTTATATAGGAGATGGGGCAAATATCGTTTGAGGGCAGCGATTCATTATTCGTATTTGAGCCTTTCATTTCACTTCATTGGAGTTCCTGATTTCGGTTCGTGGTATGTTGCTACAATCTTGTTGTGGAAGATCTATGTTCGCAATGATAGAGACTTCGATATGAGGAAACAAAAAGATAAGTTTATCTTCTTCGTTTGTTTGTTTTTCGTTGTTGAATTGACATTTGGACTTAGTTTTGTTCATCATGTTGATAATCATAATCTTGGTTTCTTCTCCATTCCTCTCTTAGGGAAAATATTCCCAGCATAATTTGCATGTTGTGGATAGGTGATTTTGTCTATTCCTTGCTAATCTGAGATTACAAATCCCTAGAGAAAATCCAAAACATTATCAGTGAGTGATATATCAGTGTGTTTTCTTCTCATAAATTCACCAATAATTTACAGAATTATACTCTGAATCTCAAAGTGCCTTTGAGGAAGTTGGTGACAAGTAGATGATTTGCATGCATTTTGACTCCATTAAGACTTGAATAGGATACCATGATTGTCGACACACCCTTGATGATAGAATTGTAGTATGGTGGCATATGAATGCTTAGCAAGCAATCCATGCCAGTCAGTTATTGTGTTGTTCATATTGATTCCGTTTTACATGCCGCCGTCTCCAACATAGTGATTTGCGCAAGCCGCAACCTTAGTACTTTTTCACATACGTAAAGAAAAAGAATCACGTTGGAGGAATTTCTAATAATATTGATTATGTATTGTTAGTATATGTTTGGTATACAGTATTTATAGACTTACTTTCTACCTACATAAGGAACGCCCTTGTTGAGTTGGCAGGGATATCTCCTTGTAAACCAGGAATGATTTCTATCATTTCTTGAACGATTTTAGGATCTTCACTATAACTCTCGTAACACCTTCCCCATTCTGGATCTCTGCATACCTATTTATTGCAGAAATTGAACATAGATTAGTCTACGTATGTGAAAAAATGAATGTCTTCATAAAATTTTATGCGGAATATTGCACACTGCAACACATGGAGCAAAGACATAAGAAATGCCAGTACTCTGGCTTCAAGGGCAGTTGCAGCACCAATCCTCTTCACAAGGTCTTTATCTCTGCATAAGCCCCCGTTTGATCTTCATAATTATCTCATTAAAATGAAAAATATGACCGTTATCCATCACATCAACATTTAAATTCAAATTTTTTATCTCTTATATGGACCCCAATAACGATTATATTTTTCATTCTCATTTTACAATAATTTGGCTCAAACATGGCCTAAATTTATAAAATTCAGGGGATGACATTTATCACACATTGATCAATCAAAAAGAGATCTAATAACTTAAAAAAAAGATAAATTCTTTGGGATTCTTGATATTCCTCAATGTCCCGACTATTCATGGAATGTGAGAAGCAGATGATCAATCATCAATACAAGATTATAGTACCTACCTATTTGCTCCTAGGCCAACATTGTGGGGAAATATAGTAGCATTGTAAACATTGTTGTGACCATGAACAGCTTCAATCCCATAAAGCCATTCACCATATCGACCCACTCCTCAGCCTTCGCTTGTTCATGTGGAACGCTTCCGCCACCGCTTAAGAGGCTGCCGATGGAGTAATGTCTCATGATCTCGGCTGTGGCAGCACATCGATCAATCTGTGCCATCTGAGTGATTTTCTCTTCGAGGGTCATTTGGTCCATGAGAACCTTTATACGAGTATTCATCGGCTGGTTCAGATCCTTGTATAGTGTGTTCAACTTTGAATCTGCTGCCAATGCTGATGCACATAAGAGCAGAAGAAGTCCCAATATGGGGACTGAAACCCTTGAAAACATAGATTCAAAACTTGCTGAAAAAACATAAAAGATTGATGTACAATGGGTTTATATAGTAATTTAAGGTGTTGGTGTTCTTACAGAAATAGGATATTTGCATGGCTTCAAATGTGATTAGGATTGGTTATCTAATTTGGATGATAATTTAGTTTAAATTAAAAAGAATTATGTACTCGATTAACTTCATATGTGTATTAGTACTTAAACACAATTCCTTTTTTTTTTTCCCCAAAGTTTTATTCTTGATACTGTAACTTTTACATGTGAGCACGTTTGAATGTCTTCAAAAGTATTTCAAAATTACCAACTTAAAATATTAAATTCTATTATACGTTTAAAAATTTGTATTGGGTGGGTCAATTGAATACTTAAGTGAGAATAAATCGAAGTTACTATTCATATTATGTAAGAAGACTTTGCTTTTATAGTTTTACTAATTTAAATTTTAAAATAAAATATAATATCAAATTGATTATTTTAGACGTCTTTTATCCCTCTCCACTATAGGACGTTCAAAATTATATGGAACGCAAACAAGTAATTTTCAATTATCAGTAGATATTATCAGTAGGTGCTTTGGTAGATTAATTATTAGCAGGAAAATGATGGTGATATGAGATGGGGGACGTCTTGATATAGAGATAGTTGTCATTTGCCTAGCTTCACAATGTCAAATTTGCAAAGAATGTTGAACTCATGGTACTCGAGGTAGAAACCAATGCATTAAGTGTTGTCATACAAACTTCAACTTTGCGCAAAATACAAGTATCCCTATTAGTCGATGCAGGTGAAAGACATGTTTGTCACATATCCCGTTTGTAGAATTTAACATTTCATTGATTTTCTCATTTTCCTTGTACTATCTTAGCACCGCATAACTGGATTGATTTAGTTCGTTATTTCAATCGTATGGGATTCGAGGCGATATTGGATTATAATATTATGGATTTTCCTTTAAAAAATGGATAGTTTATTAGTAAAGATGCATGTATAGAGAAAAAAAAAATGCACCACAAAATACTAGGTCAAGTTATACTTGAAAAATAATTATGAACCGGTTCATGATCACCCACAGTACGTGACGCAGAGCAGAAGTTCTAGGTTTATAAACGTAAACCTAAACGAGAGAAAATTGTAATTCATAAGAAAAATAATAGCTTCCAAAATTCAATAATGTTTATTCAAAAAACAAGAGCTTTTAAATAATCTATGAAAACCCTAATTTAAGCAAAAGACAAAAATAGACATTCACTAAATCAAAGCAACTAAAAACGGAAAGAACCAAAATAACACTAAAACTTTGTCTGCACGGTAGCACGCCTTAAATTGCGAATTTGAGGCTGGAAACGACGTCAACAGGGGTAACCCGGGTTGGACAATATGGAGCGCTGAGATACGTTTCTGAAAACATATTATGCCCTTGTTTGGTCCACATCAATATTTTCATTTTCATTCTTCTACTCATTTTCAAACACATATTTTTTAATAAAATAATAATTTCTATCACATCAATAACTTTTTTTTTCAACCACATATTCCACATCCATCACATCAAAAAAATGCATTCTTCTACCCAAAATGTGCACCAAACAGGGTATAATAGAAACTTTGACAAATGGGTATAATAGAAACTCTGACACCGATGTAAAAAGTTATGCCCGTTTCTTTGAAACAACTCTTTTAGCCAATTATCCGTCCAATTCTTCTTCAAACTCTAAGGCCAATAATCCAACATCAGTTTGGCGGGGTCGGGTCATTCGTTATGATCCTCGAAAATTATATTAATACGAAGTACCAGCTTCTTGCAGTCCACTCATCTATGATCCCTATCTCTATCTCTCTCTCAGCGCATTCGTCAATTCATGGCTACTCAAGGTCAAGTTATTACCTGCAAAGGTACTCTCTCTCTCTCTCTATATATATATATTTATATGTGTATCTATGTTTGTACAATGTGGACCGTGGGCTAAGGTAGTGTGATTTAGCGGCGGTGGCATGGGAACCAAACAAGCCATTAGTGATCGAGGAGGTGCAGGTGGCGCCGCCGGAAGCCGGAGAGGTCAGAGTCCAGATCCTTTTTGCTGCTCTCTGCCATACCGACGCCTACACCTGGAGTGGCAAGGTACTGTATAAATGTATAAACTTGTACTATCGGCGCTGTTTGGTTCATATTCTGCGGATAAGGTAATTTTGCTTGTGGACCATAATTTTTTCCAATTTTTTAACCATACATTCTAAAAAAATCTACAGGCCCACATATATGGAAATGCTGATTGAAACAATTTTCTTTCTTTGAAAATATCGCATTGCATTTTGGATTAGGTAATACGATGTTTCAGCACACTTAATTCACCCCTCCAGACGCCCAAAAAAGGAAAGGAAAAGAAATAAGGAGAAATAACCAACTTGAGTCTATTGATGTTCTTATATTACTTTTTCTGTGTGTTCTAATCTGTAGTTTATCTTCTTTGAAGGATCCTGAAGGTCTCTTCCCATGTATTCTTGGTCACGAGGCTGCAGGGTATGTTATGTTTTAGTGTTGCATAGATGCACCTCTCTCGCAGTTGGACTTGGACCCTTTTCGAGTGAAGAAATGTTAGGTTGAAATTTGATATTTTCTATCATAATTGTAGAATAGTGGAAAGTGTTGGAGAAGGCGTTACTGATGTTCAACCAGGAGATCATGTCATTCCTTGCTACCAGGCAGAATGTAAGGAATGCAAAATTTGCAAGTCTGGAAAGACAAATCTATGTGGAAAAGTAAGGTTAGCTACTGGAGCTGGAGTTATGTTCAGTGATCGCAAGTGTCGTTTCTCAATCAATGGAAAACCTCTTTATCATTTCATGGGAACATCAACATTTAGCCAATATACTGTTGTCCACGACGTCAGTGTTGCAAAGATTGATCCTAAAGCACCTTTGGAGAAAGTGTGTCTCCTTGGCTGTGGTGTTTCAACGGGCAAGTGGCTTTCCACTTTTTTTTTTTATATTCGCATTTGATGCTTTCTTATGATTTACCTGTAACTATCTAGCGTTTTTTGTTTTGTGACGTTTCTCAGAAATGATTACTTTTTTTCCCTTGTATGAAATTTATCATTCACGAAATTTTACCTTATATACAATTTATCATTCACGAAATTTGTCCATTACTTTTTAATCGTGTTATTGTCCTACATAATCCTTTTGTAATTCTCCCAACTCAGTTACTTGTATTGTGTTTTTCTTCTTTAAATGAACTTGCTTCTCTGATGAGATTTTACTTTTAAATACAAGAGAGGTAGTCGCAGTGGGTTTGAAACCCTAAACCCCACATCCCCCTCCACCTCCAGTTCGCACACAGGATATATCTGCCCATCCAGATTTTTCTCTGTTCCTATAACTTATTTTAAGCATCCCTATAGGTCATATTCCAGTTGTGATTATCTATGTGACACGGCTTTGTCATATTCTTCACACTGTATAATTTGCTTTATCTAGGCCTTGGAGCAGTTTGGAATACAGCAAAGGTAGAACCAGGTTCCATAGTTGCTGTTTTTGGCCTTGGCACTGTTGGACTTGCTGTAAGTTTCGGTAGAATTATCTAATTCTAGTCCTAATCATATGGTTATGATGGTCAATATCTTGCGTGCTATTCTAGGTGGCAGAGGGTGCAAAAGCTGCTGGTGCTTCACGAGTAATTGGAATAGACATCGACAGTAAAAAATATGATATAGGTATTCATTTGCAGCTCCACCCATATCATCCTAATTTAAACATGAGTTGCATGCAATTGATTCTCCACAATGATCTTTACATAGTATGTCTATGTTTTGTATACCATTATAAGTTGATTACTTCTTGGGATCTTCATGGTAATCTGTGTTATGATAACGAAGGAAATTCAGTTTGTGTTACTTTTATTGAGTGCAGACATTCGAGAACCTTTTCTGCTAAAATGAATCATAATTATTTAGCACAGACAGTCGATATATCACTATTCTACATGAACAAAATTTTGATTTGTTTACTAAGAATATATTGTCATGAAGTAGTGGATATTTAAGTTCTTACAGCGTACTTGGTTGCTCACTAGTGATTGGTGAAGAAATGAAACATTTTTCATTTTTATCATTATTGGTTCAAATTATGATCTGCAGCAAAGAATTTTGGGGTCACTGAATTTATCAACCCAAAAGACCACGAGAAACCAATACAGCAGATTATTGTGGATATGACAGATGGTGGCGTCGATTATAGCTTCGAGTGCATTGGGAATGTCTCTATAATGAGGGCTGCTCTGGAGTGCTGCCATAAAGTAACCTCTTCAAAAATTTATTCTCGAATCATACAATGTTATACCTTGCATTCGAGGATGCTGAAATTCTGGTTTGTCTTGTAGGGGTGGGGAACATCAGTTATCGTAGGTGTTGCAGCGTCTGGCCAAGAAATCTCAACCCGGCCATTTCAGCTTGTGACAGGTCGTGTCTGGAAGGGCACAGCTTTTGGTGGTTTCAAGAGCCGTTCTCAAGTCCCTTGGCTCGTCGACAAGTATATGAACAAAGTAAGTTCATTAATTTTCCCAAACCTGCATTTTTTTACCAGCACTACCTTCTTGCAATTTTTCAAACTCGATTTCTCGTCCACCTTACAGGAAATCAAGGTCGATGAATACATCACCCACAATTTGACTCTCGTGGAGATAAACAAAGCTTTTGATCTGTTGCATGGAGGAGACTGCCTCCGTGTGGTGCTGAATATGCAAGTTTGATGTGATTCGACTGGTTTGGCTGTGGGTCAAGAGGGGTTTGAACCTGAATATCATATCGATTTGGAAAATAAAAAGAATTGTACCGACTCACGTATTATGCTATCAATATTGATTTTGCCTTCTCTTGGCGTCTCTTTTTCTGTGCGTCATTGCATTCGAAAATCCTATTAAGTGATTGATTGATAATTTCATCCATCCTTTTTAGAATCTCTCTCCTTTTGTCGAGATCTGCATAGTAACTGGTATCTGTTCTCCAACTATTGAGGTCGAAAAACAGGACACAAGTTTGTTCAAAAGTTACAGTACCTTTATATTATGTTTAGTGTGCAGTACGGTAGTAACAGTACTGCACAAAAAAATTCATATTCTTATTTAATATATCCTTGTCCAATCTTTTAAACCGAACATGCCATCAAAGTTATTCGATTAACCTGTCGCAATTCACAAAATCCATAGATCATGTCAGTTTCTTCACCACTTCACACGTCCAGTAATTGCTCACGAGCATTTTAACAAGGTCACACATTTAAATAAGCTCGAAAATCTATACGAGGATTCAAGATCTTGGACTCTCCAACAGACACCAAGTGAAAATCATCTATTTGAACAACTTGCATTCTGAACATTGATATATACACAGCAGCATTAAAAGCCTAATTATGAGCTTGGCAGTGTTGATCTGAAATCAAGTCCAAGGTTTCCAATCCTCTGATGCAGCAGTTAAAAATTAATCAACAGATAGCTTTACCAGAAAAATCCAACAAGATGCAGATATTTTAATTTTTAAAATTGACAGAGACAACCTAATCAATTGCCCTTCTATGATGTTTTAAGCTAGCCCTAGAACATACGGAAACAAATTAAAGTTGGCCGACCAACTTGAAATTTGTCCAAAATCTTTAGTGACCAAGAATGGTTTTTACCTAATAAATGCATTTATTGTTAGGTAATTGCCTCAAAAGTCAAAGTTGGAGGACTTCTACTGCAACCCGTGAGAGATAAAACCAAAAGAAAAAAGGCGACTGCTTGGTAAAAATAAGACGGCGGCTCTATCTTGAGAATATATATTCAATTGGCCTGCAAGGTTGGTGGCCGAAATTAGTGAGATATATATTCAAACATTGTGGCTCTATCTTGGGAATTATATATATATTCTCAATTGGCTGGCTGGAGAGTTGTTGGGATAGATATATATATTCTCAATTGCCGGCAGCTTCTGGGGAGACGAAGAAAGGCAGGTTTGGTGAGGATATATATATTTATCAACACACAAAGTTAGAGACAATTTTTCTTTGTAATACTTTGGAATTGGACTAATGAGTGAAAATCTATATGATCGCAACAATTTTTCATATAGTGAAAAGTTTTGACGGTCCGTTTAATTTTTACGTTATATTCTTTATTTTCCTTGTTTGCTAATATTCTCCTGAACAACAAAAAATCCTACGGGTAAATAGAAATAAAGAGAATTGGCTAAAATTTCCTAACATCTATTACTGTATCGGCAAGCTGAAAACTCCGTTAATGTGAAAAGATTGAGATATATACTGTTTGGTCATGTGCTTCCTGTTCCAATGGAAGCAATTTGTTAGTAGTATTACTTTCCTTTCCTTTTTCCTTTTTTGCTGAAGCAACATAGTAAGTTCGTTGTGTTATTGTAAAATATGAGAAAACTTCGTCGACGTCAACAATTTCCAAATACAAGTTTTGACAGAGTTAGTAATATAGAACAAGATGTACTAAAATGTTAACTTTTGATATCAGTAAAAGGACCCACTTCCAAAGAGAAGTTCACACGACGAAACCTATTATGACTTGAGTAATATGGTTACTAGAGTATAAAATCTTTGAGTCAACAAAATGGGATAAAGAGGTGAAAATGGTGGATTGAAAAAACGGCTCATATCGAGACATTCGAACCTCAAGGACGAATTGTTCTCCAACACAAAGAACCAATTTATACAAGCAAGGATAGATGTTTCCTTCAAAGCACGTAGATCTCAGAGTTTCACCAAAATACTTTTTTGAGTATTCATAGTTTAGCAAAATATAAATGGAACTTTCAAACCAAGGATTGAATCAAAAGCATGTATGAAAGGAACTCTTCTGTGCAAAAACATTAACAGGAGGGAATTTTATGCGCCTTACATACAAAATTAGAGTACTAAAAGATAGAACCCGACTATTCTCAAAATTCACCAGAAACAATAATTTTCCCCATTTTTCTCTTGAAGTGAATTGTAAAATTCAGGGAAATCAGTTCCTGACGTTTTCCTTCACTTAAGGTTGTTCAGCATAAACTTAGAAATCAAACCAAGTACCTGCATTATTCAGGGGTGAATATATTAAATCCAGGAGGCACAGGAACTTCCAAAGCTCCTAATGAAGACTGATTCTCAGACATCCAACTATCAAAGTCAAAGGCCAATGAGTCCCAATTTATATTTCAAGGAAATGGGAAACCAATATCATCTGTGAAGGAGCAATTATCTGCTGGTGATTCAAATTGCCGACGACAGCCATTTTCCTGTGGTCCACTTTGATGATGGGAATCATCTTCTCTTGTTACACTTTGCATTGAAGGTGTAGCATGGTGATGTTGGAAACTAACTACAGGAAGTTGTTAGTGGTTGAAACGGCTGAGACAGGCATCCAAATTACAATCAAAATCAGCAAAACTTGTGTTAAAACCACCTTCAGTTAGATTCCCTTGCTGGAAAATATATTGACCATCATTTGACAGAATATTAGGGTAACTATGTGCTTTAGGTAGTGAGGGCGAAGAATTTTCATTGGCCTTAACCATGTTGGGCTGGGAGGTTATGAGGGACTGAGAATGCAAATGATTTTGAGAGTCACTGCCTATGTCGGGTTGGTTGGACAGAAGGGTCTGCAAAAGTGCAGCAGATCCATGAGGCTGAAAGACCAATTGGGACTGGGAAAGAAACGAGTTTTCAGTATTGTTTCCCACATTCGACTGAGATGCTACCTGTGATTGCGAAGGCAATACAGTTACCAAGTTGCTAGCAGGGAAGGGTTGAGAAGGCATTGAATTTCTAACTAAGTAGCTTGAATATGGTTGGGAGGACATTTGAGGTTGAGAAGTTATGTAGTTTGAATAAAAACCTCCCATGTTTGGTGGAACAGACACTCCGGGCTGGGAATACACTGTATTAGCAGCGCGGCTTCCCATTGTAGGCTGATTGGAGCCACTGTAGCTATTTAGTCCTGGATTCGCGGAAGCTGGCCAACTCTTCAGAAAGGGGACACTGTTCCATACACTTGGATTTCTAGCACTTAAGGTACCATTGCTATTGGATATATTTTGTAACTGTTGAGCAACCAAATATGGTTGAAATCTATTTCTAGGAACAGAAAATCCAGGTGTTTGGCTTCTGCCTTGATTTATGATATTTAATAGGCTACAATTGGGTGGTAATGAAGTTGATGGTAGAACTTGAGTGGTTTGTGAAAGTTCTCTCAAAAAAGAAGTATTGCTGACACTAGGAAGATTGGGTGGCACATTATCACTTTTCTTCAAGCTTTTCCTTTGAGCTCTCCAGAACTCCTCTTTTTCAGTAGCATGACAATGGTCAAGACTGGAAATGCCAGTTCCCCAAAGGGAACATGGAGCAATTGAGTCACAAACATAACAGTGACACTGAAATTAATACAAGTAGAAATCAAAATGGTAGCACTTTTACTCAAACCAAATACAAAGGAAAATTTAAAGAGGCAAGAGCTATATAATCTTGAAAATTACCTGGTCACAACGACTCCCATGGGGAGTAGAAGCAAATGGAAATTTAGCACAAATATGCCGTGGGTGAGGAAAGTCTCTGCATGCAACCTGTGATAAGCAATGTCAAACAACATCTCGTACAACCAAACAGAAAATCTTTTTTTTTTTTGTAATGTGGGAATGAGTTTAACAAAGTAAAGCAAATGTTAAATAAGTACTACATTAAAAAGAAGAACAAGAAGGCTCTTAAATCCTATGTGATAAAAATAATAATCATGGGCAACACTGACCATGCATTTAAGTCAAGGAAAATGAAGATAATCGAAGAACTGAATCTGAAGCAATCCATTTAAAAAAAGGCAAGATGTGCCATTTAAAACTGTCTCAATTGACAATGAGTTAGATGTGCCAACATATTAATACTATTCATTCTTTGCAAAGACTAAATAACTACAAAGTTGTAATGCACAACCAGTTGTAAAGGTACACAAGCTGTAAGCTCAATTCAATCATGTCATTCAAGTAAAATTAAGATAAAAGCCAATGAATAATCATTGCAAATCCACGTGCTAAAAAAATCCCAACAGTTTCATATTATCCTCTTAAGGAACCATTAAATCAACAATTATTCGACTTGTGTTTTGATATGATGTTCATAAAATAGACATCTGCATTTTGCTGTCGCAAACATGATATATTCACTAGTCAAGAGCAGAAATTGCCTGAATTCTTAATTGTTGTGTCAACAAAATACATGTCAGCTTCCTTCTTTCAAATCTCATGATATCCAGATGACCTCTCGATAAATTTGAGATCAGATTCCTTATTTTTCATTGTCTTGTTTGAGTCATCGCTACATATACAATCATTAGCAACCACATCACACGATGTCCATTATCTTAAAGTAGTAAATAGAAAAATGTAATGTGGTTACGAATCCTGCCTTCACCACAAAACAAGCTTAAACGAATAGATTAAATAAACTAGATGATGCATATTAAACAGCAACACTACCAAAGCTTCTTGTTGGTTTAACTTTCCCAACTTTTCATCAACTTTAAACTAATTAAGATTATCTGAATCTGAACATAAATAAAAGAATCTAAACACTGCATCTGAATAATCAATACGAATGCACCCAACGTTCTTGCCTCGAAACGAACGGAGTAAAGAAAAAACAAAATACCTGACCCTTTTCTGCAATAACCACCAAATCATCTGAATCATCAACGTTGACTCTGCCATCTTCAACTGCAAACATTTTGTCTGGGCCGCCATACAAAATCACACAATCATCATCGTCAGAATCCTCAATTTTTGCAGTGGGCTTCAAAGGCAGTATGATTGAATCTTTCGGGTTCGGAATAGCTTCTCTCACAACCATTGCTTCATCGGAATGAACTGCATTCGCCTCCACCTCGGCTAATAGCTTCGATAACCAATCATGGTCTTCTACATCCCAACCGTCATCAAAACCTTCTTTTCTGGTCTCACCGAAACCGGCATCCTCATCGGAGCTTATCTCGAGCATTAATGGGGCGGGATTTTCCATCACAGATCAAGAACCTTCACTTCTCAAAGATTTTATGAAAAATCAACAGCAATCGTCAGTTTCTTCGCTTCATCAAATAAAATTCAAATTAGATAATGGTTTCTGTAAAAGAGAAGTGTTGGAAAAGATCAAAGAAACTTCAGAGTTTCACCATTTGGGAAATTTCCTGGAAAAATTCTTAAAATGGATTTAATGAACCAATAGAAAAGGTGAATATAAAATAAAAAAACGACGATTGGCTAACCTGAACTTGAAACGGAAAGATTAAACAAACACGAGAATTTACTAAGAGAGAGACGGAGAACGCCAGAATGCCTAAAATTGAAAGGCTTTCGTTTCACCTACTTTTGAAAGGCAGGGAGCCGTTTCAGTTCTCAGTTTCCACTCCCGCGTAGTGTGCGTGTGTCTGTTCTTGACTCGCGACTCGCGAGTGAGCGCAAAAAATCATATTTTATATATGGGTAATTATATTCCCACACCATTTTCTTATAAATACACCACATTTTAATTGTATTATTGATCCCTAATCTTTATTTAATGTTACAGTTATGTTGTTAACTTTTTTCATCACGTTCTTATCATTAGTCTTTCATTAATTAAGCAATGTTGTCTTTAATAA